CCTGGAAAACTGACCACTGTGGCCTGGTGGCTCCACCCGTGGGTGGAGCAGCACAGAGCACTGCCCAGTCTGGGTCACGTGCACAGGGAAAGCGCCGATAGAAATGATGGCAGCAGCCCTGATGCCATGCCCACCCCTGGCCTCCTGGTGCTTTAGTGCCAAAGTCAAAGCTCCCCTTGATGCTTCTTTGATTGCATTGAGATGGAGATTGCAAGAGATGTACTAATCAGAGGATGTCACTCTTCCCCCCCACCCCCACTGTGGCCCTAATCACTCCTGAGATGTGTCTCCCACTGTGCCTACCCCCTGCGTGAATGGGGTTGGGTCCCATGGAGGGACACAGCTCCTCGGGCCTGCAGAAGTAACCGGAAACCACTTCCAAAGATCAGAACTGGGGCCCGGAGTGATAGCACAGTGGGTAGGGCGTATGCCTTGCACGTGGCCGAGGAGTAATTCCTGAGTGCTGAGCCAGGAGTAACCCCTGTGCATCTCTGGGTGTGATGCAAAAACAAAAAACAAAACAAGAACAAAGATCAGAGCTCTGGGGCTGGGGTCAATGGTCAAGGTGTTTGCTCTGCACCTAGCTGAGCCCAGCAAGGTGTGACTCCCCCCTCCCCTCAGCACCACAGGGGGCAACTCCCTGGTGCAGAGCCAGAGCAGCCCAGAAGCACCTCTGCCTGTGTTCCCCAAGCCCAGAGGGTCAAACCCTTAGCACCCCTCTTCTCCCCAAGGCAAAAGAAGGTCTAATAAAGGCCCGTGACCTTCCTTTATGGGGTTGGGGGGTCAAGAGTGATCTCTCCTAGAGATAAACCTCTCAAACAGAGGAAGCATACTTCTCAAACAAATTCACTTACAGGCCATACAATTCATTCATTTGAAGTGTCAAGGGTTTCTAGCAATGCCACCGTGAATTATTCCTGAGTCATCTGGCTCGGGGGACCATATGGGATGCTGGGAATCGAACTGGGGTTGGCCCTGTGCAAGGCAAACACACCCTCCCCGCTGTGCTATCACTCCAGCCCCCCACAACCTCGTGTTAGAGCACTCTGCCCCCTCCTCTCTGGCACTCCTACCCAGGTACTGATAGTGGTTTACTGACCATCACCCCTTCTCACCCCCCACCGCAGGCTATGCCAACTCTCTGTCTCTTTCCAGCTGCCCTCTCTGGGGACAGGTCTGGTGTCACGGATGAACTCCCCTGGGCTTTTGCTGTCTCCTGCCTGTGTGATGTTATCCTTACCTTTTCCCGTTGTCTGAGATATTCCGCTCAGCACTGGCCGGGGCTCGATGGGTCAGCTGTGTTATTGATGCTGTCTTGGAGTGGCCCTTCCTGGGCATCTCATAAGCAGACTCATGGGATGGGCCGTCTTCTCTTCTCTGCCTTGTCCTTTTAGCACAGAAAATTTGATGTTGCCACGGGCAGACCCGTTTGTCGCTTCCTGGCTCCAGCATCTTCTGGGGTAAGACTCTCCTGCTAAGGGACTGTGTCCACTTTGGGGCCACTGTGACTATAAGGGTCTTCAGTACAGCGTGCCAACCTCCAGCAGCCTTCTTCTGGTTTCTTTCCTTTTTTTTTTTTTGCGGGGGAGGGGGTCACACCCAATAATGCTCAGAGGTTACTCCTGGCTCCTGCACTCAGGAAATACTCCTGGAAGTGCTGGGGGGACTATATAGAATGCCGGGGATCGAACCTGGGTCCATTGCATGCAGGGCAAATGCTCTCCTTGCTGTACTATCACTCCGGCCCTTCTTCCGGTTTCTATTTTCACTAGTGAGATTCAACCTGGACAAGCTCTGCTAGAAACACGTCAGATTCACGGTGGGTGGATTTTTGAATTAATTCATGGTCCGTGTACCATCAGAATCTTTTCACTGTTCCCAAAATGTTCCTGACCTCTACATTCAGTTCCAAGAAACCCCATGTGGGGTGGTGACCCACAGCCTTTTTGTTTCTTTTGCAGGGGGGTTGGGCCACACCCGGCTGTGTTCAGGGCTTACTCCTGCCTCTGTGCTCAGGGGTCACTCCTAGCAGTGCTTAGGGGGCTCTCTGTGGTGCTGGGGGTCCAAGTGGGGTCAGCTGTGTGCTAGTAGTAGTAGGAAAGCGCCTTAGCCCAGTACTATCTTTCCAGCCCAGCCACATGCCGATTTTGGTTGTTGTTTTGGTTTTTACTTTTTGAGTCACATCGAGTAATGTCCAGGGGTTATCAGTTCAGTGCTCAGGAGTCACGCCTGGTGGTACTCAGGGTCATGCAGTGCTGGGAATCAAACTGGAGGCTCTTGCAGGTGAAGCCTGTGTCCTGGTCCTTTGAATTCTCTCTGCCACCTCAATAGCCCACAGCGTCAGCTGCCGGGCTTTACACTCTGTTGGCTTCTCCGTCCTCACCCCAGACTGTGGCGAATCTTGCTGCAGAATAGGGAGGCCGTGGCCAAATTCATTTTCCAGCTCTGAAAAGGCAAAATTGTTGATCGAGGAGGCGAAAGGTCACAGTCCTTTCTGTGGGAGCTCCCCCCTCCCCCCATTTCTCCTCAAGACAGAAAGACAAGCGCCAATTAGGGTCAATTTGTGGGACCAATAGAAGAAGATGCCCGGAAAACACACATCTCTTCTCACCGGGTTGCTCTGCTGAGAAAATGTAAGCCTGGTGCCCAGTTGTGCCAGTGGTCTGTGAACAGATGCCAGCAGGTGAGGTGTCATCTTTGATATTAATGAGCACCTGCTCTTCTCAACGAGAGTGGAGAGACAGGTGTGGAAGAGGCATTTGCAAACAAATCAACCCACTCACCATGAGCTCCGAGCGGTCAAGTCTAGTTGGGGAGGAGTCGGACCATTTGAAAAAAGGCATGTTCAAAGGGCCAGGGGCCTGGGACTAGATCCCCAGCACTGCAGAGTCCCTTGGCATTGCTGGGAAGGAGGTTCTGAGCACAGCTGGGAGTAGGACTCCCCCCCCACACACACACTCCTGAAAAACAAACAGGAGTTTCTGGAAGGTGATTCAGCGGCCAAAGCACCTGCCTAGTGAGCATAAGGTGGTGCATGGTCATTGCCCAGTGCTGGGCCGGGTGGCCCTGTGGTCCGCGATCCGGACGCTGCAGTTCTAACAACACGACAGCCAGGTGAGGGCAAACACTGAGACTGAAGGGTGCAGGACCCCCTGTTTCCCGCCCCAGCAAGCCCCATAGCTGCAGGGATGTGCAAGCAGAGAGGGGTCACCAACTGCTCTGGGCACACGAGAGCCTGGGTGAGGCCCAGAGCTGATCGCTGAGCACCACGACCCAACAGGCGGGGCCAGGTCGGGGCACCAGGCTTCGACAAACTGCCGGAGTCCGATGGGCTGGGTGCGGGGGATGAGGGCTGGAAGGACAAGATCCCGCATCACGGCGTCCTAGGAGCCTGCACCCCAGGGGAGAAGGGATGAAACAGCAGCTGGCAGTGCAGGACCCCTTCCGAGTCCCAGGAAGGTGGGTTTCCTGCGCTGATCCCGGAAGTCCCAGCTGTGCCACCTCCGCCTCCCCTGTGATTTTCTTTTCTTTCTTTCTTTTTTTTTTTTGCTTTTGGGTCGGGCTGGAGCAATGGCACAGCGGGTAGGGTGTTTGCCTGTCACGCGGCCGACCGGGGTTCAATTCTTCCGTCCCTCTCGGAGCCCAGCAAGCTATCAAGAGTATCCCGCCTGCACGGCAGAGCCTGGCAAGCGTCCCATGGCGTATTCGATATACCAAAAACAGTAACAACAGGTCTCACAATGGAACGTTACTGGTGCCCGCTCGAGCAAATCGATGAAAAATGGGAGGACAATGCTACAGTGCTACAGTGCTTTTGGGTCACACCCCACGATGCTCAGGGATTCCTCCTGGCTCTGCACCAAGGAATTACTCCTGGCGGTGCTCAGGGAACCACATGGGATGCTGGGAATCCAACCCAGGTCGGTGGCGTGCAAGGCAAACACTCTACCCGCTATGCTATCACTCGAGCCCCTCCCTGATGACTTTCTGATTTTAGGAGCTAAATCCTGTCTCTGTTGCTCCTGGCCATGGCAGAGCTGGGGACATGACAGAGGACCCCCAGCTCCATGCAAACAGCCCATCATTAAACTGCCCTTGCTCTCTCCGTCCTGCAGACTAATTAGCCAGCCTTTTCTGAATCATGGGTGGAGAGGGCTGGCCAGGGCAGCTTCAGCCTCAGACAGGAAGTGGGACTTCCTGAACCATCGTGGGGGCTGGAGGGTGCTGGTGGGGGTGTTCAGGGCATCTCCAGGGCCAGCTGCCCACCAGGCTCCTTCCTCCGGGCAGGCCTTTGCTGGGCCGCCTGCAGACAGCTCGCCAGGGGCTGGGCTGAGGCTGGAGCCACGCGCTCCTGGCCGGTCTATATCTTCATGGAAATGCCTGCCTTGGTGGGATCACCCAGTCCAGCCAGGGGGCACTTGTGGGGCAGCCTGACAAAGATGACATCCTCTTTGCCAAGGTCAAGGTAAAATTTTGGGTCCTCTGACAAACTTAGAAGGACTGCACTCATTTGTGGAATATAAAATAACATAGTATGAGACTAACTCCCAAGGACAGTAGACACAAGGGCCAGGAATATTGCTCCTGGAAGCCTGCCTCATGAGCAAGGGAAGAAGGCAGCTGGAATAGAGAAGGGATCACTAAGTCATTGATGGTTGGAGGGATCATTTGGGATGGGAGATGTGTGCTGAAAGTAGATAAAGGACCCAACGTGATAGCCTCTCGGTATCTGTATTGCAAACCATAATGCCCAAAAGTAGAGAGTGAGTATGGGGGAAATTGTCTGCCATGGAGGAAGGGGGAGGGTTGGGATGGGGGGGGTGTATACTGGGGACATTGGTGGTGGAGAATGTGCACTGGTGGAGGAATGGGTGTATGATCATTGTATGACTGGAACCCAAACATTAAAGCTTTGTAACTGTATCTCACTGTGATTCAGTTAAAAAAAAAACTGGGGGAGGCCCTCTGTCTCAGCATCTCTGGGGAGGTTTGTTGGGGAGATGGAGAAGCCCCATCCCCCAGACCCACTCGACTGCATCAGAGTATGTGAGTGGAGAGTCAAGTATTTAAGGTGACGATTAGGTGACAGTTAAGTGATGCGGTCAAGGATGCAGAAATCTGTTCTGGTGTGAAACCAGCCTCTCTCAATTCTCAATCTTTTTGGGGGATGTGGGGGGCACACCCAGCAGTGCTCAGGGATTCTTGCTAGCTCTGTGCTCAGGGATCACTCCTGGTGAGGCTCAGGGGACCCTCTGGAGTGTCAGAGATTGAACTGAGTCAGCCCTGAGCAAGGCAGGTGCCCTATCCACTGAACTCTCCTTCCAGCCCTTGATTCTCCAGCTTATGGGTGACCAGAAAGGCCCGTGGGCAGGGTCTGGAAAGTTCTTGGTCCAGCCTCTCGAATGCACCTGTCTCGCCCGGGGAACGAGTATTCCCTCCTCCCTGCTGTTCGCTGTGTTTCTGTGCTGACCTGGATGGTGGCACTTGTACATCCTCAAGGCTGCAGTTCCCCAGGTGGAGAGTCACATTATGTGGAGACAGCAGAGTGGCTGGGTGAGGCCCCAGCCTGTGTGGCCACACAGGGTATCAAGCTCATGACCTCCTGGTGCTCTAGTCCTGCGCAGGCCCAGGGGGTGGGGGTGTGCAGCGATTATGGGAACGAAAAGCAGGAAGAACTTGTGTCCTCAACGGCAGGTGAAAATGGGCCCATGAAATCCTGCCTCCCCCATGCCTCACAGGATCTATGGGTGTCCCATTTCCTGAGGGTCTGAAGCCACAATGGGAGACAGCACAGCTCAGAGCCCGCCCACCTTATCCCTCCTTCTTCCCTTCCAGCTATCGAGGCCATGAGGAGGCTTGAGACAGATGAGAGAGACAGACAGACACTCATTTCACTTCCAGCTGTCAAAGCCATTAAGAGGCTTGGGGGTAGGTACAGGTGATGGACAGGAGAGACAGACAGACAGACAGACATGAATTTGGTGTGACTGCACAGCTATTTTTTCTCTTGCTTGAGGAGGTAAGTATTAGACCCATTCTGCAGATAAGCAAAACTAAGGGCCCCTCCCCACCCCTGGGAACTGAGTGGCTCACCTCAAACAGGCTGACCCAGAGCTTCTCTTGCGAACCACCACTCCTGGCTGGCACAGGGTCTGCTCTTGGCTCGGTTTTACCTGCCCATGGCTGTCCTTCCTCTCTGCAGACCAGCTCGGTAATTAGCCCCTGGCCCTCTGACCTCCCCAGGGTCTGGGCAGGCTCAGCTAGGATCTGAATGACAGGCTGGGGAAGCTGTATCATTAAAGTTGACTGAGGAACCGGTGCAGACGGCCTGCCTGGCCAAAATAGAAGATCCCCAGGGCCTTCCCGCCCTACAGTGGGTAATCAGAGGCTGTGGGTGCAAGCCCATGGCCACTGACTTTCCTGTTTTTCATTTGGGGGCAACACCCAGTGTGGGAAGCTGGCCCTTTAACTGACCAAGGGCCTACGTGCCTGTGCTAGGTATGGCTATCCTGACCTACGTGACCCTCGGCAGGTAAAGCCTGTGCTTTGTATGGTTATCCTGAGAAAACAATTGTCATGGCTGTAACTGACAATGATTAACTTAGTATAAGCTTTGTAATGTATGGTAGGTCAAACTTATGGACTCTGTAACTTTCCTAACCACATCTGGGCACGACCCTTTGTGTAGCTGCCTCACTAATATATACCCCATCGCCCTCAATAAAGCCTGTCCCTTTTTCTCCCTGTTTCTGAGCTGCATTCTGTCTCTTGTGTCTTGTGTTCATTCCGTCTGTCCTTCCCTGCACCTATGGATCCTAGGGCCACCTCCGCGGGCCGGAGAGTGGTTTTGCGGCCCCCCCGCAACCCAGTAGTGCTTGGGGGCTCCTCCTGGCTCTGCATGGGGGAGTTGCTCCCAGTGATATTCTGGGGACCACCTGGGGTACTGGGACTTGAACCAGGATCAGTCACGTGCCAGGCAAACTCCTTCACCCCTAAATTCCCTTTAGCCTCAAACTGTTTTGAGGGGTTAGAGGATGGGTCTAGGGACAGACCCGGCAGTGCTCAGAGGCTGCTCCTAGCTCTGTGCTCAGGGGTTTCTCCCAGCTGTGCTCTGGAGCCAGGGATCCCTCCTGCATCATGCAACGTGAGCACCTGCCCTTCTTACAATCTCTCTGTCTCAAACTGTTCTTAGGAGTGAGAGTAGAGCAGGTAGGGCACTGCCTGGCACAGACCTGACTCCGGTTCGATCCCCGGCATCCCAGATGGTCCCCTGAGTAATGCCAGAGTGCAGAGCCAGGAGTAACCTCTGAGTATCGCCCGGGTGTGGTCCCCCAAATTAAAAAAAAAAAACAACAAACCCAAACTGTTTTTCTTGGGGTTAGGGATGAGCCACACCCTGCAGTGCTCAGAGGCTATTCCTTGGTGCTCAGGAGTCACTTAGGTGATGCTCAGGAGACCAAACATTGGCAGGGATTGATCTGGGGTCAGACACGTGCAAGGCAACTGCCTTAACTCCTGTACTCCCTGCCTACCTTACTAAGGAACCCCCCAGAGAAAATCAGAGCTCTGCGTCTGCTTGCACCGTCTAGGGCTACACCATGGAGGGGGCTGTTGAGAGGCTGGGCTCTCGTCTCCTGAGCGGCAGTCTCGAGTGTCCCTGTGTCCGGAGGGCTGGTGCCGCATCCTGCTGGCTCACTGGACACTCCGCCTGGGGCTTCAGAGCCCAGCACTGTGAAGGGGATGTGCCACCATCAGGACAACTGGGGTCTATTCCTCCCCCGCCATGGTCCCGTGGCACGCTGGCTCATGATGCCCACGTGTCTCTGGGGACGTGGAGCACACCAGCTTCTGGTTCCAAGAGGAACTCCTATGAATTAGGCCTCCACATTCCAGAGAACACCTCTCTTCCTTGGGACGCATCAGCCGTGCATAAGCGAAGGGTCCCAAGTGGCTGTCATGCTGCCACCTTGTGAAGCAAATGTGCTCCCAGAAAAGAAGAAAAAGAAAAGAAAATCCGATGACTGGAGTGCACTGAGGAGAGAGGCACAGAGAGGAGCATGCAGTGTTCTCCCGCACCTCCGACCCCTCTGAGCCTGTTGTATTGACCCTTGACAGCCCAGCTCTCAAGACCAGAAATCCTCTTCTGGTCAAGCAGGGCTGGCTCGGGGCTTTCTCTGGATCCCTCCAGAACGCATTGCTGAGATGCAACAGACTCAAAGGCAGGAGCCCAGTCCTGCTCCCCCCGCACCTGCCCTCCTCCATTCCCTGCCCTCCCCCCCAACCCAGTTCATTATCGCTCACTTAGTTCTGGCCATTGATTCCCTGTGCGACCTTCACTCACATTCAGGACATGCTCACCTGGATTGTGGCAACGGCAGCTTGGCACCAGGCTGGCGGACAGTCGCGCACACACACACACACACACACACATGCACACAGACATGTGGATACACACAGACACTTAAAGACAGACAGAGACACACAGGCACAGACAGACACAGAGACACCTAAAGACAGACATAGATACAGACACACAGTCACACACACAGACACATAACGACAGACACAGACACACACACAGACACACACACAGAGACCTAAAGACAGACATAGAGACACCTAAAGACAGACATAGATACAGACACACAGTCACACACACAGACACATAACGACAGACACAGACACACACACACAGACACACACACAGAGACCTAAAGACAGACATAGAGACACAGGCACAGACACACAGTATACACAGAGACTCATAAAGACATAGACACACAGAGACACACAGTGACACACACAGACACATAACAACAGACACCTAAAGACATAGAGACACACAGAGACACACAGTCACACACACAGACACGTAATGACAGACATAGAGACACACACACACATGAAGACAGACATAGATACAGACAGATGTAGATGCACAGATACAGACAGACACAGGCACACAGACAGATGGACACACACCGACACAGATAGAGATAGATACACAGATACACACAGACAGACCCAGGCACACAGACACACAGACATCAGACAGACATGGACACAGACACAGACACAAATAGAAATAGAAGGGACTGGAGTGATAACATAGCAGGTAGGGCATTTGCCTTGCATGTGGTCGATCGGGTTCGATCCCCAGCATCCCATAGGGTCCCCCGAGCACTGCCAGGAGTATTCCTGAGTGCATAAGCGAGGAGGAACCCCTGAGCATCGCCTGGTGTGACCCAAAAAGAAAAAAAAATAAAAACACATAGAGACACGCACACAAACACAAACATACACACACACACACAAAGACAGACAGACACACACACATACCACACCCCCCCCCCCATTGCCTAGAGCTTTTTGAGAATGACCCTCCCAGTTTCTCAGGGAACTGACAAGGCTGCTATCAGTGGCACCCCCTCTCCGTGGCGCCTCTCTCCTCTCGTTCCACCAGAATCCCCCTTCCAGTGCCTGCCCTCACCTTGAGGCTAAAGCACCTAGGACTTTAGGAGTGGGGGAAGCTGACAGGGGCTGTGGGGCCGATCCCTGCGATACGAACAGCTGGACAGAGGCTCAGACCCCGGTGGGAGGCCTCCAGGTCTCATCCGCGGGTGCCTGGGGAGCCACGTGGTGTGGGGACCATGGCACAAGAACGCACAAGAAGGGCTGCAGCCCTCTGAGAAAGGACTCCAGAGCTGGAAGCATCTTCCGGAAGGGCGTCTCACCATTAGCTGCACACCCCATGAGCATGTATTAAGCGCCGTTGTATGCCAGATGCTTGGCTCACAAGCCTTCAGTGACCCTAGAGCAGGTGAGGTCAAGCCTGAAACTTCCTTCCTGGGAGAAGGAGCACTTTCCCCCAGCAGCTTTAAAATCTTTGGGGATGGAGCCACCAGGCTAGCCTCTGTCCTCTGTCACCACAGTCTGGCATTGTGAGGCCCGGGGTGGGGGTGGGGGGCGTTAGAGGAAGGACTCTGGTCTGGCTGTCTAGATGGGGACCCCAGTTCCTCCACACTGCCTATCCAACCCCCAGGCCGTCCTCCTTTTAATTCTCACCTCAAGAGCTGTCCTCCAGGCAATGATCAAGAAAACAAAATTTTGCCAAAAAAAAAAAAAAAAAACCCCAGACGTTCTTGGAGTCACACTCATCCCTCAAGTCTCCCCTAGAAGCGTCATGGCACAGAGGATCCCAGCACCCCTTCCTCTCAGGTGGGGCTGGGGGATAGCATAGCGGGTAGGGCGTTTGCCTTGCATGTGGCCGACCCGGGTTCGATTCCCAGCATCCCATAGGGTCCCCCGAGCACCGCCCCGACTAGTGCAAAGCCAGGAGTAAGTAAGCCCTGAGCATCGCCAGGTGTGACCCAAAAAGCCAAAAACAAAAAGCAAAAAACCCCGCAGGTGAGGCGCATCAGCCGTGGTGCAGCCGTGGCGGGCGCGTTCATCGTACCCCAGGGTGGACAGGTGCCAGCTTCTGACACCTCAGCCTCCTGGTCTGCACAGCGCACCCCCCGCTAAAGGTCGAGGGCGTCAAGGCCAGCTGGCTGAGCGTGGCTTTGGAGGCACGGAGCCTTGGAGAACCGCGCCGGCGGGGAGGAGGCGGCGGAACGGTGGTCGGGGGTGGTTGGTGGAGACGCCCCGGCGCGCGGCGGGTGCTAGGCGTCCGAGCGGAAACATCTTTCCGAAACGCATCTCGGGGCCGCAAACCGCGCGCGGGCGTCCGTCCAGCCTTTAGCATCTCCCCCTGCTCATTTTCTCACGCCCATTCCCCAAACCCGGCTCGGGGGGAAGAGGCCGGGCAGAGAGTTCCTGTCGTTGGGGATGGAGAGGCGAGCGCCGGGTGAGAGGCCGGCGTGCGGTCACTGTCGGGCGCTGGGCACTTGGAGAGGGCTCAGCAGCCGGGAGCAACGCCCCCAGCTCGAACCGTGGGTCCGCTGGAGGGCCCAGCCCTCCTTTTGTGCGCCCCGGGGCGAGTTTCGGCTGCAGGCGAGCAGACACGCCCCGGGGCGCGCGCGCTTGGGTGCCGCCTGCGGGCGGAGACGCGCGCCGCGCCGGGCTGGACGCTGGGTGGCGCTGCCGGGCCGCCCCGCGCCCGACCTGTTGCGCCCTGGGCGCACCTCGGGCGGGTTTGGGGTCCCCCGGCTCGGCGCGCGCCCTCCCAGCCACCCCTCCCCCGGGGCGCCCTGCGCGCGTTCGTTGGGCCTCTGCGTTTGGCGTCCCCGCGACGGTCTAGGCGCGCGGCTGGGGCGGGAGTCAAGTTTGCCCGTGCGGGCCCGGGGGAGCTTTGGGTAGGGGGGCGGGGGGACCCTCCGGGGGAAGGGGGTCCAGATTCTGGAGCGGGCGGGGCCGGCACGGCAGGGCGGCGGGTGGGGGCTCGGCTCTCGCCGGCGCCAGCCCCCCGTGCGATCGGATGGGCTGACCCGTGCGCCGCCCCCTCCAAGCCGGGTCCGCGGCCCCGTCCCCTCCCCCGCGCCCGGCGCGCTCGGGCCCCGCCTGCGCCCGGGTCCGCGCTGCCCCCGGGCTCCCTCCGCGGGCGCCCCGGCCTCCTCGCGGCCGGGGCTGGGGCGGGGTGGGGACAGCACCCCGGGGGAGCGCGGGACCGCCAGCCAGGCCGTGGCAGGTGCGCCCCCCGCGCCCCTCATCTTCCCCGCCGGCCGGGGAGGGCAAGGACGGGGCGGGCGCGTCTCATCGCCACGCCAGTCACGTCTGGGCCACCCGGCCGCCCGGCTCCTTCGGGCCCCCTCGCCCAGCCGGCCCTGCCGGGCGCCGAGCCCGGGCCGGAGTGGGTGCGCGCGGGCGAAGATGGCCTACATCCAGGTAGGGCTGGGGCACGGCCCGCGGGACCCCGCCGCACTCCCGCCAACTCGCCCGGAGGGGAGAAGAAAAGGGGGGCCGGGCTCGGCACCTGGGCGGGCGGCAGGCGCGCGGGGGAGCGGGGCTGGGGACCCCCACGCCCGGGAGGCGGCCAGGGCCCGGGCGGACCCCGCCCGCTCGCCCGCGCCCGCCGAGCCCCCTGCCCCCCGCACCCCACCCCCGGGGAGGGGCCGCGGGGAGGGCGGCCGGGGCGCGCCGGCCGCTGTTGCCGTGGCGACGGCTCCGGCTAATTGGCCGGCGGAGCGAGCTGGAGGCAGCTGCTGGGGCCGGGAGGGACAAGGACAGTCGCGGACTCTCCCGGCCTGGGAGGCCGAGGGGTGGTGGGGGGCGGGGGTCGCCGGGGACCTGCGCGCGTCATCCTGGCCGGCCTCTGGGAGTTGCGCGCCCCCGCCCCGTCGCCTGGGACAGCGTCCCCCCCGAATCCAGCACCTTGGGTGGGGGCCGTGGGGGGACGAGGGGGAGCTGGGGCGCCCGGAGTCGCTCCAGACCCGGGGGCGGGGAGGGGGTGCGCCGGGGCAGCGCCAAGGTCACGCCGGCGGCCCCGCGGAGAAGCCCACGGGCGGGCGCCAGGGCTGGCCTCGGCCGGGGGCCGCCCTCCAGGGGACTGCTGGTGCGCCCACCCCCCGGGTGTCTCAGCCTGTTGCCACGGAGCTGTCCCCGGCGCGGCCCACCCCCGTGTCCGCCGTCTTGGCCACCGACGCTCTAGGTTCGCTCTTCAAGTTCAGGGAAGGTCATGGGGGGCTTGGGGGCGGGGAGGGTGGCCACGAGGGGGCGGAGATTCCTGCAGCTCCTGGTGCGAGCCTTGTCGGGTGATGTGAGCCGCGCAGGGCCGGCCGGTCCGCCCCTCTGGACCTGGTCTGTGTCCCCGGGATGCGCCTTCCCCGGAGCGCGGCGCGGCGGCCGGGTGGGCGTGGCCCGGGCTTTGCCTGAGCCCAGCGGGGCTCACCTTTTTGGTTTGGTTTGGGGACCACACCCTGTGGTGTGCGATGGGGCTTAGTCAGGCTTCTGGGCCGGCAGCTCACGCGCCTCATCCTGGGGGAATCTCTCCAAGCCGCCCCCCACCCTTGACTTTCTTTTTGTCTTAAAAAAATGGATTGAATCACCGTAAATTATGAAGTTATTCCGGATTGAGTTTGAGGCGTGCAGTGTGCAAGCACCCATGCTTTGACCAATGTCCACTTTCCTCCGTCAGCGTCCCCCCCCCCCCCCCCACTAGCCTGCCTCTATGCAGGCACGTGACCCCTTTTCCCTTTCGGCTCTGTGGCTTGCAGTAGCGCAGAGAGGGCATCAGATCGCTTGATCTCCGCCCAGCACTCCGTTCTCGTCCAGAACCAGCTGGTTTCTCTTTAGTTGTGCTACACAGGCCTCAGGAATTGCTCCTGTCTTTGTGCTCAGGGGTTACTCCTGCCAGGTGCTCAAGGGACCATAAGCAGTGCCGGGGGAGGGGGCTTGTCCTGGGGTCAGCGCCTTACCCACTCGACTATCTCTCAGGCCCATCCTCTGACCATCCGAACCCTGGCCTAGACGGACCTGTCATCCTTAGCTGGAGGGGCCAGCAACAGTTGGCCTGGGGGTTGGCGCTTCCCCGGTTCTCCGCTGTCTGAGTTCTCTCCCTGGTTCTTTCTGACTTGAACCAGTTCTACGTGGGGTCCCACAGGCAGTGAGAAAAATCTTGGGTGTGCCTGGGAGCACCTGCCCCCCCCCCCGGACTTGTTTCCTCTTAACCCCCAAACCTTTTTTTCTCTTTTTTGGGTCACACCTGGCGATGCTCAGGGGTTACTCCTCGCTCTGCACTCAGGAATTCCTCCTGGCAGTGCTCAGGGAACCACATGGGATGCTGGGGATCGAATCCGGGTCGGCCGTGTGCAAGGCAAACACGCTCCCTGCTGTGCTATTGCTCCAGTCAACACCCCCAAACCTTAAGCCAAACAGAGACCCCAGTGGCCTTGTCTCTGCTCCTCTTGCTTTTCTTATTTTTCTTATTTTTTTGTTTTGGGTCCACACCTCATGATGCTCAGGGGTCACTCCTGGCTCTGTGCTCAGGGATCACTCTTGGCAGAGCTCAGAGGTCTTATGGGATGCTGAAGATCGAACCCCGGTTGACCTCATGCAAGGCAGGGGCGCTCCCCACTGGACTATCTCTCTGGCCCCGGTCCTTTTGGTTTTCTTTTATCGCCTTTTTGCAGGAGAGGCCCTGTGGGCAGAGAGAGCAGGTTCTGCTGTGAGCCATGTGGGGGGGAGCGTTGCTTTTGGATGCTCTATTCACTGCGGCGCGGGGGGGGGGGGCAGAGGGCTGTCCCCAAGGATCCCCACTGGCCGCCTTGCAGCACCTTGTTCCCAGAGAACAGAGTGGGGCAGAGGTCAGCCTGCAGGGCAGCGCATCTTTGTTGATGGTTCCTGGCTTAGTGCCTCATTAAGGGAAAACTGAGGTTCAGGTTCACAGTGGCCCTTGACTGGCCCAGTTTACCTGATTGGCCAGTGGGGAGATGCATGCCCCCCCCCATGATACATCTGTGGTCCCCACCCAGCCAGCCCCACTTCCCGTGTCAACAACATCATCCAGTTTTGGCTCTTTGTCCAGTTTGGGGTTTTTTTTTTTTTTGGGAGGGTGTCACACCTGGCGATCCTCAGGGGTTACTCCTGACTCGTGCACTCATGAATTACTCCTGGCGGTGCTCGGGGGACCATATGGGTTGCTGGGAATCGAACCCGGGTTGGCCGCGTGCAAGGCAAACACGCCCTACCCACTGTGCTATCACTCCAGCCCCTGTCCAGTTTGAGTTTTAAGAATCAGTGGTTCCTGAGTCAGTGATGGAGGGATCGTTCGGGATGGGAGACGTGTGCTGAAGGTAGATAAAGGACCAAAGGTGGTGGCCTCTCAGTATCTGTATTGCAAACCACAATGCCCGAAAGTGGGGGGGGGATTTCCACAGAGGCAGGGGGAGGGTTGAGATGGGGGGTGCACTGGGGAGCTTGGTGGTGGAGAGTGTGCACGGTGCAGGGGTGGGGGTTTGATCACTGCATGACTGAAACTCAAACATGACAGCTATGTAACTGCATTTCATGGTGATTCAATTAAAAAAGTATCAGTCAGCCCTGAAAAAAAGAGTGGGTGCTTGGTGCCCGGGCAAGCCTGGTCACCCAGGCCACAGCTGGCCACTCGTCCCTTTGAGGAGTTCGAGTTTCGTGCTGCCAGTGAGTCACCTTCATGCCCGTGGACTTGGGCTTCTTTCTACGAATGAACTCACGTTTGCTTGTTAGTTCTTCCCTCCCGCTTCCCAAACGTCACCTGGCAGAGAAGTGGTGGCTGCAGCAGATTGGACAGGCAGGGCTGCTGGCGGTGAACCGGGCTTCTGGAAGGGGGTTTCCTGCAGAACCAGGGCCGCTGGCCCGGTTCCCACTGCACCGGGGTTGCCCTCTTTGTGCAGAAAGGAAGGGGGGTGGGTGTCTAGGGTTCGAACGAGGCCAATGGCACTTTCTCTTCTCTGCCAGAGAATTGGGATGCAGACTGCAACTTTCTCTGGCCTCCCCTCTGAGTTCCTGTCCATCCCTCCTCACCGTCTGGCAGCCTTGCCCCGTGTGGAAAGCCCTAGAAGGAGAGGAGGCAGGCATCTGAGAACACGGGGTGGGCCGAAGAAGGCGCCCCCTCTCTTCTCCCAGGATGTGCTTCTGCCATCTTTTTGGAGCTCCCTCTATGCGTGGGTGATCCCAGGAAGCCCCCCCCCCCTTGCCCATTGGAGCAGATTGGGAGGGAGGCGGGGGGCGAGCGCACTTCTGCACGGTGCCTGCCACTCGCTCGCCCGGGACTTAAATCATGTCCCGGGGATCCTGGCCGCGCCGGCTCTGTCTTCTGCACACAGGACGACCCCCCCGCTAGATTCCTGCATTTCTGCTTGCTTTTCTCGAGTGCGGCTGCACTGGATAGCATGACTGTCTATCCGCCCGCTCTGATTCATAACAGCAGACGGTGCAAATCAAATCGAAATGCTCAAGTTTCCCATTTATTCGGTGTTGGTTAGCCAGGAGGCTGCCAGCAGCCGGGAAGGCACCTGGCTAGTGCGTCAGCCCCCTACCCAGGATGGTAAGTGGAGTGAAACGCGGGGTGTGTGTGTGTGTGTGTGTGTGTGTGTGTGTGTGTGTGTCTGTGTCTGTCTGTCTCTCTGTCTGTCTGTGCGTGTCTTTTTGGAGTTGCTGGAATATTGCTAAACTGGTTCTCTCTCTCTCTCTCTCTCTCTCTGAAACCCCCTCGCCCGCTGTGCCCCTGGCTCCATCCGGATCTCTCAAAGGGCAGTTGGAGCCATTGAATGAGGTGGGTTCATCTAGGGATTCCTGGGCTGCCCTTTCACTGGGGCTATTGATTAGAGGACAATGGACTGGTGGTGGGGGGGGGGGGGGCATTGCTGCTAATCACTGCCCACCCGGGTTCTGTGCTTCTCTCTGGAGCGGAGGGGGGTGTCGGGGGATGGGGAGACCCCCCATGGACGAGGCTTTTTCCTCCTCCCCACACCCCTACTTCATCCATTTGCTAAGCTATCTCCTTTCCCTGAGATGATTTAAGAAAATAAAACAAAACAAAACAGAAGAACAACAACAACAAAAACAAAACATAGCTGAGCCTCATTCACCAGTCTGGGGGCTGTATTGAGGTGGCCGGGTCTCCCCCCGCCCGCCCCCCCCATCCCCGTCCCCTCGGAAGCTAAAGCCCACACGCTCAGTGGTGAGACCACGGGCAGCGGGCAGCGCGTCTGGCTGAGCTGCCTGTAATTCCAGGCGTTGTCCCTCTCTCTCCCCCACCCTGGCCCTGCCCTTCCCACCCCTCCCCTGCCCACTGTCCCCCCCTCCCCCACGCCCCACCCCTGCCCAGGGTTTGCTTTCTAGAATCTCCGACCTGCTGCTCTGCCGCTGGACTTGCCGGCACTGCTGCCAGAAGTGCTACGAGTCCAGCTGCTGCCAGTCAAGCGAGGATGAGGTGGAGATCCTGGGGCCCTTCCCCGCCCAGACGCCCCCCTGGATGTAAGTCCCTCTGCGGGCGGGCGGGTGGGCGCCTCCTGGAAGGTGAAGGTGGGCCATCCCCTGGCAGGGACCGGTCCCCCCGCGGGGGAGGGTTTGGGGGCGACAGGGGGCATTTGTGCTCTTGGCTGTACTGTTTGGCTCAGCTGGTGGGGGGGGGGTTGGCCTGGCCCCGCCCCCCCGCCCCCCCGCCCTGGGATGGGGCCCTTCTCACCCTCCGGGTGTCAGGCGGGAGGAGGGGGTGTCCGAGCCTCTCTTGGTCACCTGTGGCATGCCCAGCCCCTTCTGGATGCCCCTGGAGTGCCTGTTGCACGGGCTGGAAGGAAGGAGCGAGAGTCTTTTTTGCGGGTCAGGGGTGCAGAGATGCGCTCCCCACACCCACCCCTCCCTCCGTCCCACCCTCCAACGCGGTTGATGCTCTCCTGGCATCCCGCGTTCTCACTCCAATCCGCTCTCCTCCGCACCTGCACGCGGCTCCATCTGCCAGGGACCCAGATATTTTGGGAACGGGCTCTGGAAGCTCCTCAGGCACGTGTCTGGGCCACCGCTTCGGGGCGGGCAGAGGGACGTGGTCGCAGTCGGGGTGGCCTCGGGCTGAGGGGACCAGGATTGTGCAGCAGGCCAGGCTGGGACTCAGCAGAAGCAGATTCTCATGGGGAGGGGGGGAAAGAGAGAGAGAGAGAGAGAGAGAGAGAGAGAGAGAGAGAGAGAGAAGAGGGAGAGAGAGGAGGGAGAGAGAGGGGAGACAAGGAAAGAGAGGGAGAGAAAGAGGAGAGAGAAAGGGAGAAGGAGGGAGAGAGAGAGGGAGAGAGGAGAGAGTGCTGGTACTTTCTCCACTAAACTCCACCTGGGACTGGCATTCTGGAAGCCTCCAGGAGCGACTCTCCCTGCAGGCTGGGGAGGGGTCCTCTGAGCACTCCCTTCCCATCAGTACGCATGCAGCATCCCCTAGATTCTCGCTCTGCATCAGGCGATGTGCGTGGCGTCATCTTTCTGGGCCCAGTTGGCCCATCTGCAAAATGGGGAATGAGAAAAAAAAAAGTGGTTGGGGCTGGAGCAGTTGCCTAGTTTGCCTTGCATGCAGCCGACCTGGCTTCGATCCCCGGAGCACCACGAGGAGTGATTCCTGAGTGCGGAGCCAGGAGGAACCCCTGAGCATCGCTGGGTTTGGTCCAAAAACAAACAAAACAAAGAAAAAAAAGAAAAAGCCATTACTTAGGCTGGGGAAGTGGAGCCACAGTTGTTTGGATTGGTGTTACAGTGCTGCACCCAACCCAGTGCCCAGGTATTGCGTCCAGTGGTTCTGGGGGACCAGGAGGTGTTGGGGCCTGAACCCGGGGCTCCTCCATGCCAAGCCTGAGCTGCAGCCTGTTGCCCCGTCTCCCCCAGTGCAGGGTCAGCACTGGCGTTTATCCCTTGTGTGTTTGAGACTCTGAGTTGGGTCCCTGGCACTGCACACACACGCACACGCGCACGCATGCACACTCACACACTTCCCCTGTAGGGTTGTGCCATTACTGGCGCCTCTGATGCCGTCGGTGCTGGGGATCCTTTCCACCCTGTTCTGGTTTTTCCCTTTGTGCCTTTTTGTCAGTTTGGGGCTTGGGGGTCATCCTCAGCGGTGCTCAGGGCCGTTCCCAGTGATGCGAGAAGGACCCTGTGGTGCCGGCATCAAATGCGGGGCTCCCTGCTGCAGAACCCGAGCTCAGCCCTCGGAGCTCGCTCCCTGATCCCGGAGTGTTGCGATGCCTGGGGGTCGCACGTGCTCAGGTGGGCTGCCGCAAGCCCAGGTTGAGATGTGAGGCGCCCACCTGTGGCCAAGGTGCTGTTCGCTGTGGTGCTCCTGTGGGTGCCCACCAGGGGGCGCTCTCTCTCACCCTCTGGGCTTTACCCAGAGGGGTCGGGGTGGGTGTGGTGCTCTTGGGGGGTTCTCCCGGCCATAGTGCTCACACGTCTCACTGTGGTGCTCTCACTCGTGACGTTCCTTGCGGGGCACAGGAATCACAGAGTAAAGCTGCCCGGATCATGCTGGGGACAAGGGGTGGCAGCAAGGATTGAACTCACCACCGCGGGAGCTTTCGCCAGGCCCCCCTCTGTCTCCGTCTCAGCTTCCTGTGCGGGAACAGTGACTTGTGGTGTTACTGAGGCGTAGGGCAGGCAGGCCTGGCCAGGCTCACTCTTGGTGGGTGAGTGTGGGGGGGACACCTCACACCCAGTGTGTCGGGGCTGACTCCCAGCTCTGTGCTCAGGGATCACTCCTGGGAGGGCCTAGGGGGCCACCCAGGGTACTAGGGATTGAGCCCAGGTCGGATGTGAGCACCACCATCACCCACCCTCGTGTGCTGTCTCCCGGGCCACCGTTTCTATCGCTCAGTTACCGCGAGAGATTCTAGACGATGATAGAAGGAAAATGTCCAGAACCGCTTCATTATTCGCAGGCTGGAGCTCACGGCCATGGGTACCTGTAGGGCCCAGATGCTTTGTTTTTGTTTTTCTTTTTGGGTCACACCTGGTGATGCTCAGGGGTTGCTTCTGGTTCTGCACTCAGGGATTACTCCTGGCGGTGCTTGGGGGACCCTATGGGATGCTGGGGATCGAACCTGGGCCGGGCACGTGCAAGGCAAATGCCCTGCCCGCTGTGCCATCGCTCCAGCCCCAGGCCCAGCTGTTTTGTTAGAGCAGCTGTGAATCAGGAGAGTCCCATTCCCAGGTGGGCCCCCCCATTCCCAGGGCCTTGGGGGCAGAGGTTGACTCAGTGCAGTCGGTTTCTTTGCGCCCAGCTCAGAAGGCTCCCAGCTCCGGGAGGCAGGATTTTTTAATCGTCTTATTCACTCAAGGAAAAAAAAAAGTCATTATTAAGCCTGTGCCTGACCTGAGCGAGCCAGACTGGGTGCAGCTGCTGGGTGGCCAACAGCGCTTCCGCTTCAGAGGCAGGAAAAGCGTCTCGTGAGTTCTGCCGGCCTCCCCCGCCGGCCTTCCCCGCTGGCCTCCCCACGGGCCAGACAGCCGGGCCACACGGGAGGACAGCAGTCTCCGCCAGGGCTCCAGGCAGGAGCTGGGCGCCGGGAAGGCGTCTGGCTGCGGTGTCCCCCCAGCGCCCTGGCTAGTTACTTCTCGTGCCCCCCCAGTGCCCCCCAGGGGGCCACACGAGCCCAGAGTGAGCCCTTCCTGGTGCCGGGGGCACTGGGCCTGTCGAGGGCGGCGAGGCAGGCGCAGGCTCTGTGCAGCTGTCACACCCTGAGCATGCAGAGCTGGGGCTCGTCACAGAAGGGCCGGGGAGGCTTCAGGCACAGCTGGCTCCAGGGGCCCAGGAGCCCAAATGATGACTTGCGCTCTTACTCTCCCTCCCTCCTTCCCTCTTTGTATCTCTGTCTCTCTTTCTTCTCTCTCTCACTCTCCCTATCTCCCTCTCTGTATCTCTCTGACTCTCTCTCTTCTCTCTCCCTCTCTGTCTCTGTCTCTCTCTCCCTCCCTCCATCTCTGTGCGTCTCTTCCCCTCTGTCTCTGTCTCTGTTTCTGTCTCTGTTTCTCTCTCTCTCCCTCTCTCTTTCCTGTGCCTCTCTGTCTCTCTCTCCCTCCCCTTCTCTCCCTCTGTCTCTCTGTTTCTCTGTCCCTGTTTCTCTTCCTCCCTCCCTCCCTTTCCCTCTCTGTCTCTCTTTCCCTCCTGTCTCTGTCTCTGTCTCTCTCTCTGGGCCACACCTAGAAGTGCCCAGAAGCTACTCCCTGCTCTATGCTCAGAGCACCGTTAGTGCTGGGGGAGCAGAGCAACTCCTCGTCCTTCTGAGCCTTCTCTGGGCCCTGCCTGTTCCTGCTCCTGCTCCTGCTCCTGCTCCTCCTCCTCCTCCTCCGCCTCCTCCTCCTCCTCCTCCTCCTCCTCCTCCTCCTCCTCCTCCTCCTCTTCGGTTTCAGTGGGTGGCAGATGTGGGGTCACACTCCGCAGGGCTCTGGGGACCATTCTCGGTGCCACGCGGAGAACTGGGCTCGGCAGTTGGCGAGGCTGAACCCTGCGCTGCTCGTCTGTCCTCAGCCCCGTTCCATTTGGCTGCTGCTCATTTGATCCCGGGCACCATGGAGCCCAGTGCTGTCCCCGCGGGGTCTGTGAAGGCAGCCCCCACCCCCAGCCTCCACCAACTGGCTGCCCCTCCACTGCTGCCGGGGGTCTCTCAACCCCACCCCCTCCCGCGGCCCCGCTCCCAGCTGCCTGTGGCCACACTTGGCTGTGCTGTCACTCGGCATCGCCCTGGCAGGCGCAGGGCCCCTCCGGGGTGCCAGGGACAGGACCCTCTGCCTCCCGTCCCGCGTGGGGACAGTCTGCGGGGTGGGGGGTGGCCCGGACCTCCCCGGCGCCTTCACAGCTTGTGCTTCCCCGCAGCTCTCTTTACGGCACTGGCACTTGGCGTTACCAAACAGGCGGGCGTGGGAATGCCAAGCGCGCGAGCTTCGCAGGGCGGCTGGCGGTGACACTTGAGCCGAGAACAAGCTCCCCATGGGCTGCCACGTGGCAGGGAAGTGGCTCCTCCGTGTACGTGGTGTGGTGGGGGTGGCAGACAGTCCCCCGATTATCCCAGGGCCTTGTGGTGTGTGTGTGGGGGGGTCCCTCGGGCCTGTCGGGCGTGGCTCAGGGAAACTGGCCTGTGAGCAGCGTCTCTGAGACAGGCCTCGAACCCAAGACTGGCCCCCGGGGGAGAGGGGGGGAGCGTGCGGGAGAAGAGTGCGTGTGTGTGCACATGTGTACGTGTAAATGCGTGTATATGTTGTGTGCATGCTTATATGTGTGTGTGTGTGGTTGCATTGCATGTCTGTGTACGCATGTGTGTGGATGTATGTGTGTGAATTGTGTTGCATGTCTATGCATGTATGTGTGTGTATTGTGTGGTACGTGTGCATACATGTATGCATATGTGCACGTACTGTATGTGCATATATGTACGCATGTGTGTGCATTGCGTGCGTGCCTGTGGTGGGGGCCTGTGGCTATAGGACCTTGGAGTGGAGGGACTCAGGAGTCCACTGGGTCTGAGGACCCCACCGAGGCTTCATGGGGGTGAGGGTCTGGGATCCGATCCTTGGACCCCCAAGGGGACTCGCTCAAGGGGAGGGGCAGCCATAGGCCAGGGTGGGGGGTGCCAGGCCGGGACATTCTGCTCCTTCCTGTCTGGGCAGTGACCGCTGATGACCTCACAGAGCCGAGAGAAGAGAGGGCCGCGGGGTGGTCCCATTTCATTGCCTCCTGTCTCCGCTCCATTCACCTCGGACAGAGGGGGCGCAGGGGGTATTGCATGCGGGGACTTGCCCCCTCCCCGCCCGGCCTGCCCAGTCTTGTCCTGACAGTGACCCCTAACTGTGGGGAGAAGGTCAGCTCATTCTCATTCCGTGCCCAGGATACATTGGGAAACCGCATCGAATGTGAAACGTGCATTTTTCAAGGCTCATTCTCCTGGCAGGCTTAAATGTCAGCCTTGCTGGCGGGGGGTGTGGGGGGTGTGGATCTGGGTGATGTCGGTCTGCAGTCTGCAGAGTTTAGGGTCCGTTGTTAGCAGCACTGATCTCCCCCACCTGCCTTTCCCGTGAGCCTCCTTCCCTCGCCGGATGGATCTGGGGACCTTAACCCTCCCCACCTGCTTCTACGAACACCCCCTGCCTTTGCCCCACTAGGCTCGGTTCTAGGTGTTTCATGTGGTGTGACTCGCCCCGTGCTCACAGTAGCCTCATAAGGCGAGCCGGAGTATCCTTGTGTCCCCTTCCACAGATGGGGAGGCCGAGGCATGGGGAGAGGGGCTTGCCTAAGTTTAAAGTCCCGAGACCCCCCCTCGATTGCTCCCCTCTCTGGCCCCTCCGAGGCGCTTTGCTTTCTCTCAGCCTCTCTGTTTTGTTTTTGTTCCCTCATCAGGGGCACAAGAGTGCAGTGGCCGCTGCTGATGCTTAGCAGGTGTTTTCTCCCCGAACAATGGATTTGGAAGCACCAATTCCCCTGGGCCGAGCTATAGCTGTGGTTCTGCCACGTAGAGACGGCCCCCCAGCCCCCACAGAGCGGACACTGTGCTGGGTGTTTTTATTTTTTATTTTTAAATTTTCTTTGCTTACAACCAATCTATTGTTGAATTTTCCTTTGATTTTTAAACTTTATTTCTTTTTAATTTGACTTTTTTTTTTTAAATATTGAATCACTGTGGAATAGACCCTTACAGCGCCGGGTGTTTTTGAAAGAGGGTAAGTGACAGGCACAGGAGTGGCGGTGAGTGCGGGGCACTCCCGTCACCCCGAGCCCCCCCAGAGAGTTGGAGCCCTAGGAACAAAGGGCCGCTTTCTGCAGCCTGAAGCCTGCGGACCCCACCTTGACTCTGCCCCGGTGGCGCCCCCGTGTAGCCATGGCCTGTGTGAGCGCTGGTATTAGAGATGCAAGGAGTGGCTCACGGCCCTGCAGAGCAGCAGGGGGTGGGTGGATCAGAGGGATGGACTTCCAAGTGGGCTTCCAAGTGGCCGCTGGTGAGCATGCCAGCTGCTGAGGGCAAAGAGGCTGGCTCCTGCGGGGTTCCTGGACTACCAGCTCTTCGTCTCTTACAGGATAGCCAGCCGGAGCAGTGACAAGGATGGAGATTCGGTCCACACGGCCAGCGACGTCCCTCTGACCCCCCGGACCAACTCCCCCGACCGGAGGTCCTCGGACACCTCCAAATCCACCTCCAGTCTGACCCGGAGGATTTCCAGTAAGTCCCGGTGCGAGCGGTGTGGACTTGATTCCCACTGGCTGCAGGACCCAGGAAGAGAGTTCAGTAGTGCCCCTCCCCCCAAGGAAAGGCCGTGGGGACGTCCAGAGAGAGACAGTGACCAGGAGACACTGCCCGGCTGGTGATCTCTCTCACTGTAGCCGATGTGACCATTGGGACTGATTTTTTGGGGGGATCACACCCAGCTATGCTCAGGGGTTACTCCTGACTCTGCACTCAGGAATTACTCCTAGCGGTGCTGGGGGACTATATGGGATGCTGGGAATCGAACCCGGGTTGGCTGCGTGCAGGGCAAGTGCTCTACCCGCTGTGCTATCGCTCTGGCCCCTGGATTGATTTTGTTTTCACTGAGTGTCGTTGAGTGGACTCACTTGCTGGACACTGTCGGCCTGTACATCTGGATCTGGGGGCGGGGGGCGGTCTCCCTGCTGTACAATGGGGCTTGCAAATCCAGGTGACCCGGGAGTGGGGGCGAATGGGTGGTTCTGGGTGCCCAGAGGGAATATCGCCCTATGGTAGCGACGGTGGCCACTGATGCCCACTGGGTGGTGGTGCGGTTGGGCAGACCGAACCGTGGTGAGCTGGAACATTCTCATCCCGTGCACGGACCTGCTTGTGATCCTTTGCGGGACGTGGGGACCCTCAGTGAGCTCCAGAGTTGCCAAAAGGGAGAAAGGCAACTTGGGCTTGTTTGGGGTTTTTTTTTGGGGGGGGGGCACCTGGCAGTACTCAGGGCTGACTCCTGGCTCTCTGCTCAGGCATGACGCCTGGGGGTCTTGGGGGACCCTATGGGATGCCCAGGATCAAACTCAGCTCAGCTGCATACGAGGCAAGTGCCCTACCCACTGGGCCATCTCTCTGGCCCCCATCTTGGCTCCTTTCTTGGAAGTCTCAGGGCTCCGGAGGCACAGTGGGCTGTGACCCCAGCACTCTGCCAGGAGAGGGGGTGTCCGGTGGTGGTGGGAAGCAGGTACAGGACAGAGCCTCCTGGCTCTTGTTCTGACGGGCTGGAGACCCATCTCCTCACCTGTCAAAGGGGGAAATGGTCATTCCCCAGTCCCTGGGGTGGGGTACAGTAGGGAGGGCGGAACAGAAAGTCTCAACTGTGTGGAACTGCAGGGTCACTGCCCATGGAGAGGTTCATGTCCTCCTGCTACTCCTGGCTGGAAAAAAATAGCACAAAGAACTGCATCGGGGGGCTGGAGTGATAGCACAGTGACCTTGCACACAGCCAACCTGGGTTCGATTCTCAGCATCCTATATGGTCCCCTGAATAACTCCTGAGTGCAAGCCAGGAGTAACCTCTGAGCATTGCTGGGTGTGACCCAAAATAAAAAAAAAAACTGCTTGGGCTAGAGCTATGGGACAGTGGGCAGGTGTTTGTCTGGCACGCCTGGGCTGGATCCCCGAGCCCCCCTGTAATCTTGGCATGTCTGGGCTTGATTCCCGAGGAGACCCCCTATGATCCCGGCACTGCCCCGGCTTGATCTCTGAGACCCCCTGTGATCCTGGCGTGTGCGGGATCAATCTCTGAGACCCCCGTGATCCCAGGCGTGATCGCTGAGCGCAGAGCCAGGAGTAAGCCCCGAGCACCACCAAGTGTGGTCGCCAAGCCCCCGACACACAGCAGGATTTTCGGTGCTTCTGGGCGAGGGGTGCTAACGGGGATTCCTGGTGCCCCCAGACCTGGACTCCAGGGGCCCCAGCTCGCCCCTCATCGACCTCAGGCCCGCGGAGCTCGGGCTGCCGAGCACCAGGAAGGAGGCGGTGCAGCCGTCGGTGCTGCGGCGGCCCTGCGCGCCCGGCGACGGCCTCCAGAAGCTGGAGCCGCGCCTCTACTCGTCCGCGCCGGGCGCCGCGGACGACGTGGACTTCCTGACGGACGAGGAGATCCTGTCCAAGTTCCAGCTGGGCATGCTGCACTTCAGCACGCAGTACGACCTGCTGCACAACCACCTGACGGTGCGCGTGATCGAGGCGCGCGACCTGCCCGCGCCCGCCGCGCACTGCAACCCCTACGTGAAGGTGCGCCTGCTGCCCGACCAGAAGAACTCCAAGCAGACGGGCGTCAAGCGCAGGACGCAGCGGCCCGTCTTCGAGGAGCGCTACACCTTCGAGCTGCCCTTCCTGGAGGCGCAGCGCCGCACCCTGCTGCTGACCGTGCTGGGCTTCGACAAGTTCTCGCGCCACTGCGTAGTGGGCCAGGTGGCCGTGCCGCTCTGCGACGTGGACCTGGTCAGGGGCGGGCACTGGTGGAAGGCGCTCATCCCCAGCTCGCAGGTGAGGAGCGCGCGCGGCCGGGTGGGGGGCGTGGGGGCACTGGGCGGGGGGAGGCCCGGCCGGCCCACGGGGGCTGCGACCCCCAGGCTGCTTTCCGCCGCTGCCCTCCGGGCTCTCTCCCTGGGCTCCTTTTCCCTCTCCCCCGTGTGCGCGGTTTGGAACGTTTCCATTTGGAGCGGGGCCCCCACACCCGTGCCCAGTCGCCTCCCCGCGAGTCTCCACCACTCCTGATGGTGTTTGTGGGGCCCGGGAGGAGCCTCGGGTGGTCCCTGCCGGCTCGAGTATGGGCTAGCCTTCGGACCGGCTGCGCGGACCGACCACCCGTTGCCTTTTGGGAACTTGACGTGGAACTGGCCGTTGTCATCGGAGAAGCTGCAAGCGCAGCACCCCGGGCCTCCCGGGAGGGTCCCACGGCGATATCGGGCGGGGCTGAGTTCCACAGACACACAGTGCTTGGGAAGCGACGGGTCTGCAGACTCGCGGCTTTTTCACTAGTTTCCACACATTGCTGTGTGTGTTAAGTGCATGGGTGAGTGTGTGTGTGAAGAGTGTGCACCAGAATGTGTATAAGTGTGTGAACACGCATAAGAGTGTGTATGTGAATGTGTGTGTATGTGATATTGTGAGTGTGTGTATCTGAATGTCTGTGAGTGCATGGGTGTGTTGGTTGTGTGTGAGTGTGAGAGTGAATTGTGTGAGGATATAAACGTGTGTGTGTGTTTATATGAATGTGTGTATGTGGTTATGTGTATGTGTGTAACTGTGGGAGGGTGTGTGTGAAGAGTATATAATGTGGATGTGTGAGTGTGTATGTGAATGTGTGTATGTGATTGTGTGTGTATGTATGTGAATGTACATGTGAATGTCTGTGTATATGTGAATGTAACTGTGGGATGTGTGTGTGAAGAGTATTATTATATATGAATGTGTGTATGTGATTGTACATATGTGAGTATGTATGTGAATGTGCATGTGTGAGTGTAACTGTGGAATGTGTGTGAAGAGTGTATATGTGAATGTGTGTGAATATGTGTGAGGCATATGTGAGTGTGAGCGTGTGTGAATGTTTACGTGTGAAGAGTGTATGTGAGTGTGAGTTTGTGTGTGTGAGTGTGTGGCACTGTGCTCCTGTAGACTCTGGGAACCCAGCCCCCCCACCCCCCACCCCACTGTACTTTGTCAAGGACAGTGACTGGGCAAAGCTGTCATTCATCTTATCTCAGGGCTGAGCTACAGGGAATAGCAGAGGCTGGAGAACTGGGGGACGGGGGAGGGTTCTGGGGAAAAGGGACTCTGACCCTCCCAAACTCCAGGACCTGCACCTGATGCCTTGTGGTCTTTTGAGGGCCACACCCGATGGTGCTCAGGGCTGACTCTTGGCTCTGTGCTCAGGGACCACTCTAGGCAGTTTTCAGGGGACAGACTGAGGATAGCACCCGGGCCAGCCGCGCCAAGGCAAGCACCCTCCCCACTGTCCTCTTGCTCCGGCTCTGCACCCAACGCCTTGGGAGGCTGCTGGGACCAGGCTCTCTGGGGGCCTGTCAGAGCTCCTCTGGCCTCCTGGGCTGACAGTGACTGTGAACCCCGAGGGCCGGTGGGAGGCAGGAGCCCAGAGAGGGGAAGGGCCAGGTCGGCTGGAGGGGGACTGTGCTATCCTGGGGGCCCAAGCCTGTGGGCGTGGAGGGGGTGGGCTGTAGCCCCACAGGTTGCTTTGAGAAGTCTGACAAGGGGGTCGTGAGGGCGGGGGAGAGAACTCAAGGGCCACAGCACATGGTCCCCGGGGCACCGCCGGGTGTGACCCCAAAACCAAAGAACAAGAGGGTCCGATGTTGATAGAGAGAAGGTAGCCCACTCCAAAGGGCCTGTGTTGTTCCCTGGCACAGAGCTTTGTTGCAGAACACACTATCCAGTCCAGTTTTTCTGTATTTGGAACAATTTCTATAAAAATTGTGGGGAGCCAGAGCAATAGTACAACGGGTAGGTCATTTGCCTTGTAAGCGGCCAACCCGGGTTCAATCCCCGCCATCCCATGTCGTCCTCCAAGCACCACCAGGAGAAATTTCTGAGCTCAGAGTCAGGAGTAACCCCTGGGCACACCTGGTGTGGTCCAATAAGCAAACAAACAAACAAAATAAACAAATGTAAAAATCTTGGGGAGGGGGCTGGAGCAATAGCACAGCGGGGAGGGTGTTTGCTTTTCATGCGGCCGACCCGGGTTCAACTCCCAGCAACCCATATAGGTCCCCCGAGCAACGCCAGGCGTAATTCCTGAGTGCAGAGCCAGGAGTAACCCCTGAGCATCGCCGGGTGTAACCCAAAAAGCAAAAAAAAAAAAACAAAAAACAAAAAACAAAAATCTTGGGGAGGGCTGGAGCGATAGCACAGTGGGTAGGACGTTTGCCTTGCACGCAGCTGACCGGGATTCAATCCCCGGCATCCCATAGGGTTCCCCCGAGCACCACCAGGAGTAATTCCTGAGTGAAGAGCCAGGAGTAACCCTTTTTTTAAAAAAAATTTTATTAGTAAAACACCATGAGGTACAGTTGTAGACTTACAAATTTTTATGCTTGGGTTTCAATTGTACAATGATCAAACACCCATCCCTCCACCAGTGCCCATTTCCCACCACCACGGATCCAAGTATCCCCCCATCCTACCCTGCCTCTGTGGCAGGGCATTCCCCCTTGTTCTCTCTCTCCTTTTGGGTGTTGTGGTTTGCAAAAGAGGCACTGAGTGGCAATCATGTTTGGTCTATAGTCTACTTTCAGCATGCTCCTCCCAACCTGGGAGGATCCTCCCAGCACCCTTTATTTGGTGCTCCTTTCTCTATCTGAGCTCCCTTTTCCCCTAGTGTGTGTGGCTGGCCTCCAAGCCATGGAGCAAACCTCCTGGTACTAATCTTGGCCACTCTTGGGTGTTAGTCCAGGAGTAACCCCTGAGCATCTCCAGGTGTGACCCAGAAAGCAAAAAACAACTTATAGAGCAACAAAGATGGAGCACTGGATAGGAGAGCACCTTCTGCCATGGCCCGTGTTACCTCTGGAGCCGGGGCACCTTCTCTTGACTCTCTGATGCTTTCTTCTGCTTAAGGAAGTGGAGCTTCTGGTGGGTACGTGCTGTGACCTTCTTTGGGTGTTCAAGGAGCCGACGGTGGAGCCAGGCTGGACCTAGGGCAGGGGGACTCTGAGGTCTGTGACCCCGGCCAGCTGCAGGGAAGGGAGAAATGGCATGGTGATAGGAGCCCAGGCTCAGGGCTGGACACTGTCCAGCTGCACCTGCTCGAACCCGTGGCAGCACTTGAACAACTCCGGAGGGTGGATGTTCTTGTGGTCCCCCTCGTACAGATGAGAAAACAGCGGCCGGGAACCCGGAGAAGAACATCACCGTGAGTGGCAGCCTGGATTCATCAAAAGGCTCTTGGGGCGGGGCTGGAGTGATAGCACAGCGAGGAGGGAGTTTGCCTTGCACGCTGTTGACCCGGGTTTGAGTCCCCGCATCCCATAGGGTCCGCTGAGCACCACCAGGAGTGATTCCTGAGTGCAGAGCCAGGAGTCAGCCCTGAGCATCGCTGGGTATGATGACCCAAAAAGCAAAAAAAAAAGGCTCTTGGGGAGAGCACAGTGAAGAAGTTTGTTCATAGAAACAAACAAAATCCAAAAAAACTGGGGCTAGAGTGATGGGACAGCAGGGAGGGTCCTAGCCTTGCATGCAGCCCACCTGGGGTTGACCCCCAGCATCTCCTGAGCACCACCAGGAGTGATCCCTGAGCACTGAGCCAGGAGTCACCCCCTGAGCGTTGCCAGGGTATGACCCAAAACTGAAACAAAACAAAACAGAGAAGGACCAGAGTCCCCGTTAGAGGGGACGGCCACCAGCCAATCCCAGCCCTGCCGCCCCCCACCCCCATTCCGCTTCTGTCCTGCGGAGCCCACTTAGCAGCTGGAGCGAACACCTACTCAGTGTCACACATTCCACGGCTGCTTGAAAAGGCGAGGGGTGGGGGTGGGGGGCTGCTTGCAGGCCACGGCCATCGGCAGAAGCCTTTCGCCCCTCACTGCCGCGGGCCTGACCCCCGAAAGCCCCTCACATCCCTGCCATGGGCTTCTTGCTCTGTGCTTAAGCCTGAGCCCGAGACTGGGTTTCCAGGGCGCCTGCTAAGGCCTGGCCCACCACCCCGGTCCTCCCCATCCCCCAGCCCTTTTGGGGTTGTTTTGTTTTTCTGTTTGTTTGGGAGTCGCTCTTGACCTAGGGGAGGGTGGGGACTGATCTTTCTCTCCTTCCTGCCTCAGCTCTGCACCCCAGCCCGCCCCCTCTCTCCCCTCTTCTTCCTGGCCTTTTTGGTCATTCCATGTGCCTGCCCTCGGCCCCCGACTCCTGCCCCCACTGTCTCAGGGAGTCAGGAAGAGGAAACCCCCACCACACCCTCATCCTGCCCCATCCCCCCTATCACACACACACACACACACACACACACGCATACACACACACACACACACTCATCCCCCCCCAACCCCATTCCCCCCCGCACACACACTCATCCCACTTGGCTAATCCAGTCACGATGCCCGTCATTGCCAGGTTGTCCCTGGCTCTGTGGGGCTCGGCCTCACCCCTGTCTCTTTGGCATCTCTCAGGTCCCCATTCATGAGCACTGAGGAAGCACCTTCTATGGTGATCCCAGGGCCCAGGGGCGCTGGGGAAATGTTATCCGGGGGCTGGGTTGGGGGTCAGGAAGGGCTGTGAGACTCTGCAGCAGAGGGGGCGGGGGCACTTCTGGGCAGAAACGGGTGAGCTGGGAGTGGGGAGGGGTCTGGACCCTTCTCACTGGAAGGGCCCTTTTAAAACTAATTTCTTTTAAACACACAGTTTTTGGGGAGTCACACCTGGCCATGCTCAGGGGTTACTCCTGGCTCCGTGCTCAGGAATGACTCCTGGCGGTGCTCATGAGGCCATAGGGGATGCTGGGAATCGAACCCGGGTCGACCATGTGCAAGGCCAGC